TAAATGTTGTAATAAATATGACGACAAAATGAGGACAATAGTCTGAATAATGTAAATAGTGTACATAATACCTCATCTCAGAAATATAGACAGATACTGAAAGGCCGAAACACTGTAATAAATATGGCGACAAAGATGAGGACAATAGTATGAATAATGTATATAGTGTACATAATATCTCATCTTAGAAATATTGACAGATGCAGTTATCTTCATCAGAAGAAATAAACGAATTTGATAAGTAACTCTCGTTGTTTTACTTTCAAAGATGTTCTTTATCTTTTCTCATATATTTCATCGCTCGTCGATGGATTACCATCAACATCTCTAGTGTTATATTTTGTTAACACCACACATTTTGTTGCACAAGGGAAAATAAGAAGCACTTGCTTTCTTCCCTGTAAACTATTTTCCCAGGTTAGCAATAAAAAATACGAATAATGTCAGTTTCTTTCACACTTCAAATAAACAGTTTTTTTTCGAAGTTTATATCCTCATTTTTGTATCAGTAATTTTGCTTTCCTAAAACCATTCTGTGTATATTTTGTGTCTGTGTGCGTAATATATATATATATATATATATATATATATATATATATATATATATATATATATATATATATATATCTTAATTCTTCCTTTTTTAATATTGATAAACAGTATTTGATAAGTTATTTTACGTGTCAATCTTCCCACTACAGAACACTAAAGTTCTTATAATACCGTTTTTTTTTGTTTTTTGTTTTTTTTTTCGTTTAAGAAATATTGAAAAATATCGTTTGAAAAGCCAGGTCAAGTTTGATGTCTTTTTTTTTTTCAACTGTCAAAACAGGAATCACGTTGTTTTTTTTTCATAAGGCTTCCCGCGCTTTTTGATGGCACTCTATTTAACTTTCTCTTCGTAAATATTATCCTCTTTTTATCGATACTTAGCAACTTTGTCTCTCTCACTCTCTGTTGCTTCTGTCTCCCCATCTGTTATATCCAATAACTCTATTTCACCCTCACTTTCTATAATTAATTCTAAGTAATATGTTCTTTCTTTCTTTCTTTCTTTCTTTCTTTCTTTCTTTCTTTCTTTCTTTCTTTCTTTCTTTCTTTCCTTCCAGCATAAGCATTATTCATTTTGTTTCTCACTTTTTCTGTCTTTCAATAAACTATTCCCTTATCCCATATGTCCTTCAGTCTCTCTTACCAATCTATCCCCACTCTCGCCATTTTCTCCCTCTGTTGTCTTCTACCTTTTTTGCTCTCTTTCTTTCTTTCTTTCTTTCTTTCTTTCTTTCTTTCTTTCTTTCTTTCTTTCTAGCATAACCATTATCCGCTTTCTTTCTCACTCTTTCTGTCCTCCGATAAACTTACCCCATCTTACTCTCTCTCTCTCTTACTAATTCTTTCCCACTGTCTTCCTTTTTCTCGTTATCATCGTCTTTCTTTTATACTCTTTCATTTCTCTCTCTTTCTCTCGCTCTCTCTCTCTCATCCACGTATTCTCTTTTCCCCCCACTTTTACGTAATTTCCCGAAATCTCACATTTTATTTCACCCCCCTCTCTCCTATTGATGTACCTAATCTTTCTTTGTCTTCTACTCTCTAACCAATCTCTCTTCAAGACACTCTCTTATTCTCATACCCTTTCACTTTTTCGCATTGTCTGCGACCTTTTCTTCTTTCCTGTTTTATTCCACCCGGTTTAACACTGAATGGGATGCGCTAAGGGTACTTTTGGCCCTCACCGCAAGCTGCTGCAAAACCATTAACCTAAGAACTCGTGACTTGATCTTGAATTGCCCCTCCAGATCGGAAATTTCATAGAGACGACATGCAAAGCGCCACAGAACTTCAGAAATATCTAAACTGTCACTTGTATACAACCTCATTATCTGATCGATAATTACAAATGACTTCGTAGGACTTATCCAGTAACATTCCTCCTCGAAACACGTGTGCTGGCGCTACAGAATCACCAACAAAGTACTGTACCAAATAGCAGAAATAACGTGAGGACTTTCAGCAACAGAAACAGCTAAAATGGATAGAAGATGTAACTTAAAGAGAAAATAATGACATACACCCTTGTGCAAATTAATTGAACCAAAACGAATAATTCAGTTATTATTTAATTTTTTGCATTTTCAAATGAAACATCACCCAGTGCACATGTTACTATTTCATATGTCCATTCCACGATGGCGTTCCTTGCAGATTGAACTCAGAATGTCGATTAGATTTAAATCAGGATAGTTTTCAGGAGAGTCTATAATACTTTGATTTTCTCACTGGTAAGGCTTGCCAGTGCGTACGCTTCCTTGGAGTAACATCCATCGCAGACCGTAGGAAAACTAATCGACAATCGAGACAATAGTGTCTGAACGTGATAAAAATCTGATACAATCACGGATGACGCAATATTCTTCAAGGCCAAAAAAGCTCATCTTACACTCTGAATATAGATTCATATTACTGCACGCCACTGCAAATGACCTAATCGGAGGAAAAAATAGAAATCGATTACACCCTGACACTACGGTGGGTCTAAAACTGACCGTGTGGTGAAAGAAAAGAAAGTAAGGCGGTTGTTTCAATTAATTTGCACAAGGGTGTAATCAAGATTTTGACGCACTGATTCGAACAAAATGTTAGGCAGTAAGGCCCCATCAACATTGTAAAGTGCGATAACATTTAGTGGAATTGAGGAACCTTTCCTGAAAAATTGCATTTAAAAAAAGATTTTATAAAATTCACACAACAAAACACTAAATGTTCGATTATTGTTTATCGAATGTTTCCTTATAATGAAAATGATTTGTTTTCTCTTAATTCTTTCCAAATAATATAAAGTTACCGGAAAACATGTTTTTAGCTTGTTTTTCGGACTGAGCGCGATCGAAGTCCTTCACTTAGAAATATCGCACCTGACGCTTACATATTTGGGGCGCTTGCAATAGCCAACCCAACTGGAGTGCAATTGAGGTGCCTCGCTCTGGCAGAATTTTGTATGAATTTTAGTAAATATAAATTCTTTTTGTTTTGGGTGATTTAATATTTTGGGGTGAATTAACAGTAACATCTGAAAATTATAGTATTACTCTTACCATTAGCATTTACGTTCTATCACACATTTTTCTGATTTCTAGCTCTCATCTTTCACAGTATATATATATATATATATATATATATATATATATATATATATATATATATATATATATATATATATATATATATATATAATGCCTCTTGATTCCTTGGGGAATATAGAGCCGCAAAACATCTCTCCAACGGATGCGGTTCGAGAGATCCTCTTCAGCACGACCCATGTCATGCCGGCTGCCTTCTTCTCTGCGTCAACACTGCAAGTCTGTTTTAGTCGACCCACTTTTCGCTTCCATTGTAGATTCCAGTCAAGGACCTGCCTGGTGACACTAGAAGCCGGCTTGCGGAATGTGTGGCCGATCCATCTCCATTTCCGTTTCTTGATGTCAATCACGACTGGGGCTTGTCTGGTCCTGCTTATTCTTTTCTCTCTTCTAGCACAAGCATGTGATTTTTCATATTTGTTTTTTTTTCTCTATCTCATACACATAAACGGAATGAGTTAATGTCTCACATACACCCGGACATACACACACACTCTTTCTTTACGGAGCTGATTCAGTACAACATCTCTTAATAGCAATCCTTCTCTACAACATTCACTGTTCTTACTGTAATTATATCACTCTGAGCTACTAGAGGATGTGATACTAAGGATCAACAGACGCCTTATCGGGTCGTTGGTGACTGATCAGGATCCCCCAGCAGGCTTATCATATGAGGAGTGTTGCTATATACTCGCAGGATTTAAAAAAATCTACGTCAGAGGGAGGGTGATCTTGCATGTATAGTTAACGGCCATCTAGCACAATAGAATAAAACTAGGGGGGGGGGACATCGTTATATTTTCGTCCATCGCGGTGATGGCGCGGCATCTCTAGGTAGAGCTCTTTCTTTAATGAAATCAAAAGGCCAGGGCGGGATGTTCAACGCATGAAACCAACGGACATCAACCCGTGAACAGGTTGAGCCTTCAATTTGGAAATTATCGGCTGTGATTTCTTCAAGTGTACCACTCATCCATGCTTATAATATATTGCTGCCACATATGGTATTGTATTCTTGATATTCATTTATAGATTCTTGATAAAATAAGAAATATCAGCAATATTATTTGCCCTGACTTGGCGTCTCGGCTTCAGTCCCTTTCATACCGCTGTAAATGTTCCCACTCTACGACGTCCAATAACTTTTTGTGTCAAATTTGAGTGAGTGTCAGATTTGAATTTTTTGGGAATTGAATAAAAAAATTAACTGAAAGCCAGAGCGAGTTCACAGAGAGACAAAAGAAATGGGTTTGAAGAAAAATGATGCTAAGAATTTATGTTAAAATGAATGGCTCGAAATTTTGCCTCAACCTAATATTTGAAATTGTATTAAAGTGAACTATGAATTTCCCGGCGTAGGCATTTAAATGCTAGAAGCATTAGCCTTGTTGGGTCGTTGCTTCGAGTCGCGAGGTTCGTAGAAATGTACATCGTTTTAATACCTGCTGGTTTTCTGTTGGAGTCATAACCGATGGGTCATGTCCACTAGATGCGTGTGAACTTTGGCCGAAACACGAAAACTGTTAACCCATTCATTAAAGCCGAAGTAACGCCATTTTTCTGCTAGAGAGTTTCTCCCCACCTCTCTCTATGTGGATGTTTTACATATATATATATATATATATATATATATATATATATATATATATATATATATATATATATATATATTATGGAAAGATAGATATATATGTAAAAGAGATCAGAACAGAGTCAGACAAAGACACTGAAAAGACTGATACAGATAAAATGAAATAGATCAGGATATATATATATATATATATATATATATATATATATATATATATATATATATATATATATATATATATATATATATAAGTCTTAAATAGAAAGTCATATAGATGGATATGAAAAGACTGAGAGGCATAGACAGGATAGGTGGAACGGACTGGAGACACAGATAGAGAAATCAGAGAGAAATAGAGAAAGTGAGAAAGAGAGAGAAATTTGCTTAGGTATGAAAAACTAAGTTTAGTAGCTAGCTAGATAAGAAAAGACATAAATAAATAGATAGGAATAGTCAAAGATATATATATATATATATATATATATAGATAGATAGATAGATAGATAGATAGATAGTATGTTACCAAAAGTTTTGAGGAATTTCCCCAAGTCTCAATGTAAATATAGAGGCCATTGTGTAAGTGAGTTTTAGAATAAGCAACCATTTTTATTCATGATATAATTTCCATGGCTGCATATACAGGGTTTATAAAAATACTTTTACCAATATTGGAACGGGTTCCTTACACCAAAACAAGGAAAAACGTCCATAAAAATATTTCCTCAAATATTTCTTTTTTGAGTTACAAAAAAAGTTTAAAAAAAAATTAAGGTAGATATCGCTGTTTTGGCATTTAGACTATGTTACATTTGTCATTCGTGTATATTTGTGGCTAGTCTTTAACGTGTATAGTAGTGAGTTAACTGAGAAGTGCTCAGTTTAACAAGGATTTTTACATATGGCCACCCGAATGTTGAATGAACGCGAAGCTGCAGGGCTGTATCAGAATGCATCCAAGTCATCCGACCTCTGTTGCTGTTTATCGTTGCGTTGGTGAGATAGGATCCATAGCACCACAATGTATGAATCGAGGAAGATCGATATCTGCCCGTACGCCTGACCACGAAGAACACATTCTGAAAACTGTCGGAAACGATCCAGGTATCAGCACACGTCAAGTGACCCAGCATTTTGCATAGTACCGCATGGAGGGTACCTCAAGTACCGCCTCCGTATCCGTATCATTTGCATCGTGTGTAGGGTTTTTCGCCCTCTGATCACTCACCACGGTAGAATCTTTGCGAATAGTTTATTGCACAAACTTCCAATCCGTTATTTGTCTCTTCAGTCTTCGGATGAGTCAACATTTGAAAAAGATGGAATAAGAGGTTTTTCACAACCAGCATTTGTAGGCGGATCAGAATCCCCGTGGAACAATACAAGCTAGACTCCATCATCAGTTTAAGATTAAAGAGTAGGCCGGAGTTGCTGGCGTCTGTCTGATAGGTCCGTATGTTCTCCCAACGCGTCTTACAGAAGCTATCTACAGGGATTTTATTTCGAACACACTTCCAAACCTGCTAGAGGATGTACCCCTGCTAATATGAAGAGTATGGGGTTCATGCATAACGGGGCTCCAGCATATTTTAATCACATTGTTCCCGATGCACTGGCTGAGATCTACCATAAAAAATGGATAGGTAGGTGGGAACGACAGGTTCTATTGCCTGCACGTTTCCTACTTTAATCATTTTGAATTATATTTATGTGTCCTTCTAAAAAAATGGTTTATGCAGCAGACATGAGTGTCTGTGAAACCATTCAGCACCGTGTGGGAGTATTTGATATGGTCCGCCAGTCAGTGATCCGACGGGGTGCATGCGTGTGTAGAAGGAAGCGGAGGATATTTTGAACATTTGTTATGAGTTGCTTTGTTCTCTTACAACGTCGGCCTTATGAACATATGTTTATATGGACATTTTCCCTTCTTTTGGTGTCAGGAACCCGCCCCAAATTTTGTAAAAGTATTTTTGGCACACCTTGTATAAAGAGGTTGAGAAAAATACACACACACACATATATATATATATATATATATATATATATATATATATATATATATAGAGAGAGAGAGAGAGAGAGAGAGAGAGTGAGAGTGATTGAGAGAGATAGACGGAGAGTGACAAAAAGTGAGACAAGCAAATACATAGAGAGAACAAATGTAGCCACGAACGAGCGATTGAAAAATAGATTGGAAGAAATTAAGGAGAGATAGATAGATAGATAGATAGATAGATAGATAGATAAGAAGGGAGAGGCGAAGGAAGGAAAGAAGGAAAAGATTAATAGAGAGAGAGATTGGGAGGGAGGTAGCGGCGAAGGAAGGAAGGAAGGAAGGAAGGAAGGAAAAAAAAAGCGAAAAGATAGCTAGCTAACTAGCTAGCTAGCTAGATAGATAAGAAGGGAGGCGAAGGAAGGGAGGAAAGAAGGAAAGGAAAGGAAAAGGATAGATAGATAGACAGATAGATAGATAGATAGATAGATAGATTGGGAGGGAGGGGTTGAGCGGCGATGGAAGGAATGAAAGAAGGAAAGGATAGATAGATAGATAGATAGATAGATAGATAGATAGATAGATAGATAGATAGGGAGGGAGGGATAGGCGAAGGAAGGAAGGAAGGAAAGAAGGAAAGGAAAGGATAGATAGATAGATAGATAGATAGATAGATAGATTGCTTAAAAATCCAAAAGAATTAATCACACTAAAAAGCCGTAAAGACAGTATCGTGGTTAAAACCACGTGCAAATTCAAAGGTAAAACAGACGATCCGTAATAGACTTGCTCTCTAACTTAATCCAACTTGATATCAAGACTTTAACTGCCAGAGGTCTATTACAAAATCTGACACCAGACACCAGCGTTATAATAGCCAACGTAGGCAATAAAACCTTTTATGAGTTGATTTATAGCTCCTCGAGAACCGGTTCGTTTGTTTTGTGGTCCGTTCAGCTGATGCGCACGGCAGTAATATGTTGTCTCGAAAGACATCAGTACTCGGCAGCCTTCAGTAACCAGAATTCGCAGCTATACAGTGCTGCAGGTCAAACTAGGGCCTTCGTGAATTTCACCGTAAAATTTTCCGAAGAGCGCGATGTGTTCTTTAAATACTGATATCAATTGAAAGTATTAAATATATATTTATGGATAGATATCTTTAACCCATTTATTAGAGGAATTTTACTCACTTTCTGGTTTTTTTCTTTATCGGAGAAAGTTTCACAGATCTGCATTTGCTATTATACACTAACTATCAGATCAGGGTATTACATTGTCTCTCAAGATGATAAATTTGGCTGAAAGGAAGAAAAACTATAGAAGAGCAAATTTGGAGATTATGTATGTCCTACAAAAATGCTTGAACACGTGACATATTTACTAGAATCTTTTGAAATACGTTTGGTCTGATTTGAAAATGTTCATATTTCCAAAGGAGATTCACCTCCCTCCACAAAAATCTAAAATAGCCCTTATAATGTATTTTATGAATAACTCCTGGCATTCACATACTTTCAATATGGTGGACAAAAGCACAATTGATATTTGAAATAACTGCTTATTCTTATAGCTAGGCTATTCATGAATACATAGATTTCGCGACGTGGTGCTCTGATATTTGCTAGAGAGAGTTACACAATCTTAAATCGAACTACTTTCTTAATTGTCAAAATTAATTGGATTTTGTAGGTTAAGCAGAATCGCCCATCAACCCCAAATGCAGTTGTTTGGACAATCATAGACTGAAAAGTGACTTGTCTCTCAAACTTATTTTTTGTCCATCTTGGAATACGCAACTAACAAATCAGCTACAAATTCACATCATTCTTTGTATATAATTAGTAGCTGGTTTTCAGTACGAAAAATAATGACTTAGCGCCTCAGAATTTTACTAAAGAATTAAATGAGAAAATATTTAAGAGATTTTTGATATCATGCAATTCTCATTAATTCTATTTCCCAGACAAAATTCTGATAGGGTTTGGATTTGAGTGATTTGTATTAGGATACATTTGAAAGGAAATTATTCGGGCCTCTCCGAAGATATTTAACTCTCACCAACATACAGGGTGTTCCAAAAAATTGGACATCATTCCGCAGGCCAATAATTTTAGAAATTCTTGTTGAAATAACCTCAAATTTTCACAGAATGTATGGACACAGATCAAGATTTTATATTTAATGGGAGAGGACAGTACGTGCTTATCTCAATGAAAATCTGCCAGAGAGATGAATTGGGCGTGGTGAAGATGAAGAAAGTTTTCTGATGAAATGGCCGCCGCGGTATCCGAACTTATCTCTGTGTGATTTCTTTTATGGGGTTGTGTGAAGATACTGGACTATGTTCCCGACACTTCCTGCTAGCACTGATGAACTCAAGCAGAGAATCACTTCCACACTGGATAATGTTACCGAAGTCATGCTACATCGTGTTTGGCAAGAGCTTAACTACCTACTTGACGTGTACAGCGTCACAGGCGGTGCAAATATTGAACTCTTATGAAATCGGTCCCAATAAACTTATGATGTTCAACATCTAAACTGTTTAATTTCATTGATCTAGACTTAGTAGTCTTCAAGATGATCCCTTTTAAAATGATGACAAATTTAGGGAGACACCCACTATATATCATCATTGAAACTAGTGATGATATTAAATTGAAGGCTGACATATATTTATTCAAGTAAAAGGTATACAAATCAATGGATGAAGATAATACTGTACGAGAAGATACATGCAACCACGGAAACAAATAAATGTCAACATAAAAAAACGATGTTTCCACAGAAAAAACACCCTTTAAGACCGTACGCTGCAGAGATCGCGTTATTCATTAGTATTGACGCGTCCATGTTAAAGAACAACTATTTATTGTGTTTTCTTCAGTTAATGTTTACTTTTGTCTTTTTGATTTCCTTCCTTTCTTTCTTTTTGTAGTTTTCTTTCCGTGTCTTCTATCAAAACTGTAATCAGCAATCATGAATCCTGGTAGGATTTCTAATAGTCCCAAAATCGCCTCGTTGTGTAGGAGTTATATATAAGTCCGGTGAGAAGACACATCCTTGTCTTACACCCCTTTCTATTTTTGTATATCAGCTGAACTCATTTTCTATCCGTATGCAGTCGATTTGCTGCCAGTATCAGTCAGTCAGTGATACACGCATAGGCTATCACGTATCTTTCGATACATGACTGACGAAGCATATTTTTCCCGCAGTAGGTTGCCATTTCTTTCTTTCTATTTAACCAAGCTGGGGAGGGGGGAAAATGATGATTCATACCTTTAGCCCGAATGTAATGGATTCGACTGGAATTCGAACTCGGCTCTCCGATTCCTCAATCCGAGCCGCTATCCATTAGTCAACCGTGCCTTCACTGCTCCAGTATAGGTTCTTCATTATTCAATTCTTCCCAAATATGTCAAGATTGATGAGCAGATCTTATAGATATCTGTGGCGTACTTTATCGCGTAATCTATAAGACAGAGCTACACATCCTACTGCATTACTTTTGCTCTTTCGGATAAAATTCTGAGCATACATATCGAGTTCTTTGTTTGATTCTAGATTTTCATTTGGTGCATCTGCATTTCACGTATATTTTGACTTTTCCAAGTATAGAATTTTATTTTAATATTTCTTTCCCTTACATATTTTACAGAATTTCTAAATGTTCGGGTTTGTTCAATAAATATATTAGGGAGGACTGAGGAAAGGGCAAAAGTTGAACGGGATTCAAAAAGACAGAAGACAACAATTGATGATGCATTTAAATTTTTCAAGATTTTATTTATCAAGGAAGCAGGTAAACGGAAGGGAGTTCCACAGATGTGAAGTGCGAGAAAGAACCGTTAAATGAAATAAAATCAATGGACCTGAAAAAAGAAAAAGTCGATATAGGAATTCAAAACGTTATTATATTTTTCGGACACATTGTATATTTGAAATATCATTTAAACTATTTCAAAATTAAGAATATCAACTGGAAATCCTTTTTTTGTTTCCTTTATGTAACAAATCAAGAAATTTCCTCATCAGTACAAAACCAAACATAGATGCATGACAATTTACATAGATATATACGTATGTATACTTGCCTCTCTATTTAAGTGCTCTTGTAACAGGACAACGTAATCACAGTCATGAGCGCCAACTGCACTCAACATATGTGAGTCTATTTCGACCACTGCCGCAGCTATAAATTTCTTGCATTCAATGGATGTTGTTTCGATCTTTTTTTTTTCTTTTTGTATGAAAAGTGTCATTCAGCAAAATCTGTCTTCGATTCTTCTGCATTTCCCGAGCAGTTGCCTTGTGTGATGTAAGAATGCAACGATTTCGGTAAATACGCTGCTGTAAAAAGATGACCTTTCCATGGGTATTATTGGCATGGTTATTACTCTTAATGTTATGGGCGGTTGCTGCATAAAAAAAGAAATTATAAAACTCTAAAAATGTTCGAGATTAAAATATAGTTTTAAGCTATGGTGAGTTTATGATTAAAAGTGGTTAATTATGGATAAATATTCTGAATATCAGGAATTGAGCGTATTTAAATGAAAGAGTCAACACGCAGGTGAACTGTTTTATATTCAAGTCTGAATATATATATATATATATATATATATATATATATATATGTGTGTGTGTGTGTGTGTGTCTGTGTCTGTGTGTGTGTGTGTGTATGTGTGAAGAACTATAGGTTTACGGTATACTATATTTATAGGATAAAGCGCTCAATATCAGAGATAGAGCGTATGTAAATATAAAAGGGATTAACGTCAACACTTAGAGACGACAGACTGTTTCATGCTAAACGCAGGTCATATGCGTTGTGTTTTTCTTTACTATTTATATATACGGGTCAGTGGCGCATTGTGAGTAGTTTCTTGCATTGTGGGTAGTCTAAATTTTGGTGGGAGTGGTTTGTTAATTTGTTCATTATTATTTTTTATTTGTTTGGATTAATCTATTTTACTTGTTTTTGTTTATTTTATTTTATTTATTTTTAATTATTCTTTTCAGTTTTAGGGTTTTAAGTAAAGTAGTAACATTTTTTTTTTCTGATTTTTGAGATGAGTTCTGATCGTTCATTTAGTAGTTTGTTTTGGTTTGGGAAGGTAATTATAGCTATTTTCTTATCCAAACAGAGTTTGCAGTTTTGGATTTGTTGTTGTAAGCTGATGTTCTTCTGGTGTGATTTGCTTTTTGTTTTTAATTTCCCAAATATACTTGGAAAGCATTGTGCTGTTCGCGTATTTACTATTTGGGAAATATATTTTGTGTCCATAGTTTCTTTGTTTCCAGGGTCCTTCAGTTACCCCTAAGTAAATTTTTTCTTCGCTATCTGATGATCTTACCGTGGCTTGGTATATTACATTGTTTGTAAGCAACTACTGTTTAAGGGACATACGTTCTTCATTCTGCAGTTACAAGTGGGTTTAATCTTTTCGGGTAGCTTCTTGATGGTTTTTCTGTTGTGCTATTTTATTATCTGTGCTATGTTCCTGGTGCAACTGTAACTAATTTTTACTGTATTTTTGTAGAATAATTTGTGGAGGGTGCTTGATTCGAGGAGGTGCTTGCGTAAGAGTTTGATAAATATTTTCCCTACGTTTTTGCTGTACGGTGGGTTGAAACATATGATATATCTCTTCATGTTGGCTTTATTCTTTGTTCTCTGTGGTGTGTGCGTGTGTGTGATTGTTGTTGGAAATCCACTATATCTTAGGAGAGTTTTCATAGTCTTTCTTAGTTTCGTTGAATATGGTTTCATTGGAAGAATTTTCTGCATATATATATATATATATATATATATATATATATCGACGACTCTTCCTCAAAGAAATTAATAATGTAAAACAAACACTAATCAATAAAAGTTTCCTTAACCACATTATAGGCCACCAAATTAGACTATTTCTCCCCAAAGTAAATAATAATGATAGTGAACACACAGCCAAAAATCAAATACATATTTATTACAAAAACCA